CCCACTCATTACCGATTGTTCCCACAATGGTTGCAGAAACTAAGCTGTACGATTCTTTGGGTATCAAACCCGATGCATCACAAGATGAAATTAAAAAAGCATACCGGAAGTGCGCATTGAAATATCATCCGGATAAAAACAAGGATAACCCGTCTGCATCGGAGAAGTTCAAAGGTAGGGTGACTTGACCGTGGTTCCCCCTCCCGTGCTCCCCCAACATGGAATTCCACATACGCCCCCTTTTTCTCAATAGTTTTGGATAATAGCTAACATAGTCACAGAGGTATCACAAGCCTACGAAGTTCTGTCCGATCCCGAAAAGCGCAAGATCTATGACCAATTCGGCCTCGACTATCTGATGCGGGGCGGCCCTGCTCCTCCGCCCAGTGGCGGTGCTGGCGGTGCTGGTGGAAGTCCGTTTGACGGTGGAATGCCGGGTGGTTTCTCATTCGGAGGCATGCCTGGAGGAGGTGGTGCCCGGACCTTCCGTTTCTCGACTGGCCCCGGCGGTGGCAGCGGCTTCCAGTTCAGCTCTGCAGATGATATCTTCCGAAACTTCGCCAAAGGTGGCGGCGGTGGCATGGATCATGACGACCTGTTCGATATCCTGGGTGGGATGGGAGGCGGCGGTGGCGGCGCTGGCCGTAGCTTCCGCTCAAGCCGTGGCCCCAGTGCCTTCCAGCAATCTCAGCGCGCCCCTACCCCCGAACCGACCGTAGTTGAGAAGGAACTGCCATTGACACTGGAAGAGCTGATGCGCGGAACGACGAAGAAAGTGACTGTCAAGAGCAAGACTTTCGATGCGAACGGAAAGCGCACCGTCCAAGATGTAACGCTTGAAGCGAATATTAAGCCGGGCTTGCGGACCGGTTCGAAGATCAAATACAGAGGTGTGGGCGATCAGGAAGAAGGTGGCAGGCAGGATGTCCATCTTATCGTGACAGAGGTAAGTGACAATTCTCGAAACTAGCCCCGCGAATGTAGCGGGACTTGTGACTAACTTCCATATAGAAAGAACATCCCAACTTCAAACGCCAGGGTGACAATCTCATTACAACTGTTGAAATCAGCCTGAAAGAAGCTCTCACCGGCTGGGACCGGATCGTGCGCACAATCGACGGAAAATCGATCCGGGTAGCCAAGCCTGGTCCAACACAACCCGGATACGAAGAGAGGTTCCCCGGCCAGGGTATGACGATATCGAAGAAACCAAGCGAGCGAGGCGACCTGATAGTTCACGTGACGTCCGGTTCCCGGCCAGTTTGACTGCTTCTCAGAAAGATATCCTTAAAGACGTGCTTCCGTGATTGTCTTCGTTCTCTTTTTTTTTCTTTTCTTTTCCAGTTAATACCAGCATTGTTGGCGTTGGGGCGAGCGACGGGTTGCTTGATGATGTGATGACATGGTTTTTATACGATTTCCACTACATCCTGTATCTTTCTAGATTCTGATAACAAAAGCTACGACACTTCCATCTTAATATTTCATTGCTGCTGCAGTAAAAATTGTATAAGAAAGAATATAGTTCCACTCATAAGAGCATATGGTAACACCAAAGTAGTACTGCGTTCTCTATATATTATCCCAGCAAGTCCCCTTAAAAACATAACCTCGCAAATCGTTCCCCAATATTGACCTATATCCTTCATTATCATGAATGATAATACTACTCCATCTCCTGAAGAAATTAAGCTCGGCAAAGCGGGCCGACCCGCGACTCACCTGCCGGGCTATGTATGTACTACTAGTAGTACTTACAGGTTAGAGTATTGTCAGGAAGACTAGAGGCTGGCTTCCGATTGTGCTGTTGAATGACAGCTATTCTATACCACTTTTGTTATTCCTTACTACTATATCCAGCTTTGAGGTTTTACAGGGGCCCCCTTGATGCCTATTCAAGGGTTGTTTCTATAATGGGACCTCCCCTACCTACCTCAGTTACCAGTATCGAGGTCGAGGAGACTCCTTTTACAAATGAAGGGCAAGGCATCACCTAGATAATGAGTCATTAATGATGACAGAACCCACATCGTAAATCTTCCCGGACAGATAGGCGGTAAACAGGACTTAAGTTCGTGCAGACGAAGTTGTTTGGTAGAGGTTAATATTGACTTTAATTGACGTTGATAAGCGATTGACCTTGAGCCACCACGTAGTAGGTAGATGAGGATTTGCGAAGCGGAGACCCAGCAAAAGAGAACCGAGGGCCCAAAGATCGGTGACAACTTCCATTGACGCCTCTTAAAAGAAATTCGAGAAATCAAAAATTCCTAAAGTATTCTCAAGTCTAAACGACAGCTTCATATTGATCTAGATATGTCCAAGGAATATGATCACAGCACAATAGTATACCACTTGGAAAGCAATCACATATACGCCAATATAACAAAACTGTTGCCTTGAACAACTATCGAGTCTATATTGCTCCTCAGTCGGTGTCTGACCTCTATAGAGTATGGTTATCGGCTGACAGAGCTCGAAATTATATGTCTTGTATAGATCGTGAGGAAAATCTAGTATTTAATTGAAGAAGCACCCGAGTATCTACTAATACTATCTATAATATATACAGTCTATTCAGCACCTGTCCAAATATATAAACAAACCAGTATATAAACAGTGCCGACCGCTAAATGATAAATCTATATTTAATATACACTTCCCAATAGAGACAAGCATAGTGACTGGGGATTCCCACGTAATTTATATCAGACCGCAGGTTCGCAACAGGCGCCACCACGTATTAAGCCCTCACTACGTTCAAGTTTAGAAAAAAAAAAGAAAGAATGAAAGAATGAAAAAGAAAAGTCAAAGAGAAAAATAAGAGGCGACGAAATAAACAATCAGAAGCAATTCCCGCTATCTGTCCCAAAAAGGAAGTCCTTATCTTATCGCCAAAGCACCAACACTAACGCAATCAAGCAACGAGCACTCCCCGTGACGACAAACAATAAATGCGGAGAAGCAAGCTCCAACTCTCCCCAGCCAGTAACTACCGACAACTCTCAATCAAGCGATACAACAATGCGTCGCAGAATCACCTTCGTTCAACATCCCGAGACCCCATTTTCCCTGGATCAAGCGGTCCTAACACCGGATGCCCTCACCGTGAATGGGATTGATGGTGCCCGTGAGGAACGGGCAACGTTTAGCGTTGATGAGCTTCCCGAGGAGGTATTTTCTTGTTTTTAACAGCCTACCCTTTAAAATCAAAAGGTTGTATGGTGCTAATGTTAGATTCTGATTATTTTAGCTTGCAGAGGTCTTGAAACAGTGTCATCAGCTTCATGTCCGGTGGGCGTCGGAAAGGCGGTATGATACTGTTGCGCCGTTTTCGAGTCGGGTTTCGCCTGGATTGCATATTTTCTACACACCTGTTGATGGTTCGTCTGAGGAGAACAAGTTGTGAGTTTCTATTGCTTAAGATATGGGTGTGCTTGCTATGTATATATTGATAGTTTATTGAAGAAAATCGTTGTGTGCGCTGTTGAAGAGGACGTTTGATTATGGGTTGAAATGCAAGAGTCCCGAGGTTGGTATTGCGTTTCTCTGTTAAGCATACTTGTGACTGACAGATATTACAGGAGTCTTTCATTACGCCTCCCATCTTGTCCACGCGTTTCGCTTCCACCGCTGCTTTCCAATACCACAGTTTACTTCCGTCCCTTGACAACCTAGTTGCGTATATCGAGAAAAAGATTTGTTCGTCGTCCGATGAGCAATGTCTCCGTTATGCTGCATCGATTCGGTCCGCGGACTCGGTTGATATCAACTACGATAGTATCTCGCATTCGCTGACTGTCTTGGGGTATTGGTCACAACCGCCGGAAAATGGATGGACGGATGAGATACGGAAACATGCTGCGGGAACGGATCAGGTTGAAGTGGGGTTATTAGGCACCGAAACGGCGACAGAGCCCGAGGATATTAAGATGGGAGGGCTACTGGCTGTTGTTGGGAAGGATGATCAGTTGAGTATGCTTAGAAACGGATTGCTGGGTGCGTTTGGTGTTGCGTACGGATATGGTACTGATGATTCATGGGCAGAGCCGACGCTCTTCTCTTTCCCCTCTCGCCATCAGCCTCTCCCGGAGGATGCAACATATTCAATCTCGTTTACTTCCCCGACGGGTTTGCATCCAATCATGACCATCTCGATGCCACCGTCATCGCTTAACCCCCCGCCTGCTCCGTCGGACGCGACATGTGCGCTTCACACCTACCTGACGCTCCCATCGACGATATTTGGCGATAAGTATCAGCTTTCGACCACTGACCCGTTGTTCCTAGACTCTCACAACTTGGTCGCTCTTCGTGCAGTCGCTGGAGAGACAGACCTTGAGGCGCCAGACTGGTTTGTGTCTCGCTGGGGATCAAATTGGTTGTTTGAGCTAGCCACACCTTCTGAATCTGAACAAGTTCCAGAGGAGTGGAATGTCACTATTCCCCTCCATCTGCGGTACTTGCGGCCGTCCGAGTCTGGTTACCGGTCCGCCCCAGTCCCATGGCCAGTGGTATTTTGGGCTTGCACGGCTGAGGACGGCACCAAGATGGGGGTAAATCCGTTTGACAGGGTCAACCTTGGATGGGAGGGACTGTTTGGAACTCGAACCATGTTCTACCAGCTGCATCCTTCATCTGATCGGCTTGTTGAGAAGTTGGAAGTTCCGGTTCTTCAATTGGATGATAAAGGGTTTTTCCAAAGTAAGGCGATTGAGTTGGGGACCATGATTGTCATTGGCCTAGGGTCACTGTGGGTATTATGGAAGCTGGGTGCGATAGCCTGGTCATCTGGAACACGGCCACAGAGAAGGAGTACCAAGCAAAAGAAGTCTGAATAGACTAGCCACGGCCTCGTAATATAAGCCTTTATTTATCACCCATACGGCTGGGAATCATAGGAGCGGCATCCTGTTCCATATCATCAACTACCCTTGATGCTTCATGTGGTATACGGTTTTGGTAGAGCACGCGCTAGTTGTAAACTGAAATATAAAATATCACATCCCTGGCTCCGGCAGCGGCCATGAATTGTCGGTTGCCAGGAAACTTTCAAGGTCAAAGTTTTGCAGGCCAGGCATATCAATCACCAAATCACTCAACCATGAGAACCCCGGGTAATCCGCGAGGGAGTGAGTCGACTCAATTGTGGGTTCCGTGATCTCCGCCTGTGGAGCTGAGGCTGCGGAGTTGGCACGCAAAACACCTCGAAGGGTTCTCGCGTCCTCTTCCTTTCGTCGCTGGTGGAGCAGGATCAGCAGGTATGCCGTACTGTAGGCCTCCCTCATGACGTCTGTATCGTACGCTAAGGCGACCTCACGCAGTGTCTGCATTGCATCGCCTAACAGTGCTAACGAAGCGCGACTGTCGATCGCTAGTAATGTGCAAATGATCTGGAAGGGTACGTTGGCGGTCTGATGCCACGGACTGATCGATGCGATCATGTTGCGAGAAGCCTGAAGGCCCTTTCTTGCTAGCTCAAGTACTTGGTCAAGGAGCGGTCCAGATATAACGGTGTCGAGGCCACGCAAGCGCCGGTAGATGCAGAGCATCAGGTTGCATTGGGCCAGGGTATGTGAGGCAAGGGGGTGAACGATCTCTAGAACATTCACCAGCGCTGACTCTAGGTCTAGGGAGTCCTGCGCTTTGTTTGGGTCCAGACTTTCTGATATTGGGAGAAGGTTAAAAATCTCCCTAGTTGATCTTGGAGTGGGTGGGAGGGATGTTGCTCCATGTAAGACGACGCGGGAACGTCCTAGCTCGAAAGAGATCCAGACGTTAAGATGGCGCGCATGGCAAATAGCCTCCGCCGGATTTCTGGTTCGCACGTCTCTGCCGATTGCCCGAGGACTGTGTCTGATGAGGGCTCCAGATGAAGACCGGTGGCTTCAATGAGATGCATCAGCGAACAACTGGCCATCCAAGCGGCATCAGGAGCAGCTGTGGTGCGCAGGTATGCCACTCGAAGCACCCAGCCAGTGACAATGTCGACTGACGAAGGCTTTTCGGAGAGCATGTGCTGGTCAAGGATTAAGCGGGCGGTCTCGGCCAGCTGAAGTTCTGCTTGGGGTGCCTGTCTGCGTGAGAACAGATACCCGAATGCTGCAACGCCGCAGAGCACGGCGTCATACGGTCCGTAGGGCAACACAGACTCCGATGATGTGGGGAGCCATCGTCTTCCCAGTTGGCGGAACAGATGTTCCCGGTCGATGAAGCCGTAGCACGGATCTACCTTCTCGAAAAACGTGGCGGCGAGCAGTTTCATTTCTTCCAGAGAAATGATGTCTACAACGCTTACTGCCCTGGGCATTGACGATGGGGGCATCGGAGAAGGAGTCGGATGACGAGCGCCCACGTTCCAGGCGAACAGATCTAGCCTCGGGGCATTAGCTGGGTCGATCTTGAGCCCCAGCCTCCGTACAAATGCTGCTCCTGAATTGGCTTCCAAGGAGCTAACAGGTATGTCAGGGGAGTCGCCTTTAGTCCCCTCGCGGTGACTCTTGGGGATAGATTCATTACGGGACGTAGTGCTGACTATTGGAGGAATTGATTGCTGCGGTCTAAAAGACCTGGCGTCCTTTTTCTTGCGGGACAGCAGATCGTAGTGGCAGTCGATACCAAATTGACAACATGTGCTGCAGGGCTGGTCACCGGTGCATTTACGTTTTCGTGATTGGCAGGAGACACAAGCGATCCTGGAGCGTTTTCTCGCCGTCTCACTCATTCTTTAGTGAGTATGGACTCAGGTCATTGTTTCGGGTTCGGTTTAATGTCTGGAGAGGTACATGGCAAGTGGACCGAGGCCTGGTCGATGACTGATTTAAATGCCATGCGCAGATCGGGTATAGCGTCGCCCACTCCTCTTGGCATCATGCCCTAACAAACAAACAATACGAGTCCTACAAGTCCATCGCATGCATATATGGCTCAACTAGTACCAAAGTAGGACGTCGCAATTACTATTGGCATGCGCTGAGCATGGAGTAATACTCCATGCTTACTGTACCTTGTACCTTTTGCTAGGTAGACTGATTCCTTTTTGACCAAGTATTCTCAGTCAAAGAAAACAAGGTAATTACTGATTTACTTTCCTATCCCAGATGACTCAAGCTGACTACTATGGTAATATACACTGCTACATCTGCCGTTATACGTTTCATATGGAACCATATGATTGTGAGCGTTATTACAAGGGTACAAGTCTACGCAAGAATGATGGAGCTGTACTCCGCAACGCCGAGGATGTAGAAGATCTCCATCTCTTCCGGATGAAGGTCTGGTGGGCTGTCCATCGCATGAGTGAGTCATTTATAGCCTATCAAACATCCATACGCGATGTATTCACATCCCATAAGTCCTCTATAACCAGAGAGAGCATACATGCCATATCTCAGGCGTTGCACCATCATGTTGGCGCCCTTGAATACGGAACATGGCCTGGTCTCGCGCAAAGTGTGTTTCCTATGCCATTGGTCTAGCATTAGAATGGGTAGATTGCAGAAAGTTGAAGATCCAAAATTGATGGCCTGCCCGTCAAAATGTGCGGCGGCTCGGAACCTGCAACCTCCCAGTAGAAATTCTCTACCTGATCGCTGATTGCCTTCCCTCGAAAGCCATGGCCAATATGGAGAAGGCTTTAGGTCTCCGTTTCGGTAACACCTTCTGGTATTCTCGGATCCCTACCAAGATCTTCCATGAAGTAAAGGATGTGGCAGATGAGGACCTCGATTGGCAGCGTCTATGCTTGAAACCGGAAAGACGGCTTGAGAAATCCAAGGCATTGACTACACGGAGATATTTAGTAGAATGCCTAGATGAGATCCTGAGTTTTATGAAAACGTTGGCGGATAGCCGAATCTAGAACACTGTTTGTGGAAACAGTTGACGCCTTCGTGAGGCAGACTTCTGTACATCCTCAACCTCTAGCCATCGTAACCTTACACGGAAACCCCTGGGCAGGATGGCCCGACCCCTTCTGCACCATATAAGCCCGCTCCCCATCCATAGTCCCGATACCCGCAGACGGGTGCAGCACTTGCGGGGGCCAAGGGGAGATGCCTAATAGTAGTCATGGCGCCGTCGAGACTGGCCAGAAGGTATCCGAAGGAAGTTAGCTCCTCATCAAATCCCCGTCAGACTAACCGGTGTTTATTTGTTGCCTACTTGAGGTACGCAAGCTAGCAAGCCATAACATTTAGTTACAATACGCTAGGGCTGGTGATGGCCAGATGCATTTGCGCAAGGCTGTATATATCAGTTGACTACAACCCACCACTTCCGGTTCATCTACAGGCGAGAGATAATCACCAAATGGGGCAATGCTACTAAGCAAAACTACACTATTGGCCGTGTCTGAGCTACCTTGTATATGAACTACCCAGTTCCTTACTCAATCCTCATAGTTACGGCCGTCGGGATAACCCATGAGGTCCTCCAGTTCCTTGAGATCGGGCATACCCGCCGGCCCCGGCATGTAATGCACATTGTCACGAAACGTGGTACCATTCCACCAGAGCTCGTTCTTGTGAAGGGCGTCCATGATCCGCGGGGCATCTATATATGTCCGGATCTCGACCATCTGATCTTCATACCATCTCGTTACCCACACATTTACAATATCAAAGTCATCACCTGGCATCAGCACCACCACAAAGCACATCAGCACCATTCCAACGAGGTCGTACCGGGGATTACACATACCCGAGTTCATGACGCCCTTGAACTGAATCTCTGATACCGACCAAGCACTATTACAGCCCCCATGGATAGCCTGTGGATGGATCTCGAATTTGTCTGCATGGTCCAAGAACAAAACACTCACTCGGCGCAATGCATTGACGTAAAAATGGAGCAGGTCGTTGTAATGGCCGGCTATGGGGTGGTGGCCCACCACGGTGAAGCTGACATTCTTGTGGATCAGGGTGAACAGTTTAGACATGTCTTTCTCGAGATCTTTGAAGGAGTCCCAGATGTGCATTTGCGTGACGTATTTGCAGTGGGTTGAAGGGTTGTCAAATCGGAATCCTTCTCGCTCCTTGTCTCGGGGGTTCTGGGGGTTGTCGATGATGCCATCGCCATTGCAGTGGCCGTCTGGATCGACGATGCCGGAGCATCGCAGCCCGGGTCTTCCCAGTGGTTCGATGGCTGTGAAATGAGTTGCCGGTGAGGTGGAGATTGGAGGGACGCTCGTCCCAGGGAGAGTCTTAGTAGGGTAGTTGCCACTAAAGCGTGAAGAAAGGGTTTAAATATGATCATGACAGAATAGAGCTACTTCGTTCGCGGTACTGTTGTTGATGTAAATACATAGTTTATATCAATCTAGTCTAAGCGAATACCTCGAGGGCCCTTTATGAGTCGGAGCCTATGGGTGCTTTGAGGACAAGTGCGGAAATCACTGAAGTCCCCGGAAGTATAAATGTAGAAATCTACCGATCAGGTGTCGCTAGATTTGTGTCACCGCTGTGCATATTTCCATTTGACTAGCCGTGGAAGTTTCTCGGAGATCATTCGGGCCATGCCGATGAGAAAAGTTGCCGTCGGTGCCAAGCAAATCCCCCTGATAAATGTATGAAATTCCCCGGACTCTTTGGCACCGGAAGACAGCGGCCCAGACTCTGTCATTGGTAGGACCCGACAAGTGAAAATTTTTTTACCCTTGGAAGTACTACTACTACTACTACTACTACTACTACGACTAGTACGTAGTAGGCTAACCTTGTATTATGCTTGAATAGGTGAGGATAGGACAACTCATCCGAGATGATCAAGGCCCACCAGTGTTTGCTACCCAATGATTTGATCGTCCTGCGTGAGTCACGGTGGCGATTCATGTTGGTCCTGTACGGCGGAGTAGTATTACTGTCAGAATTCAATCGATCCGAGATTGATATTGATCTATTGATCTATGGTGTATGATACTAGTATGATGGTCGACTCTTCCAAGCAGGGGTGTTGTCCTTACTTAACCAGCCACCGTGTCTCCTTTTACCGGGGGGTAAGTGTGGAGGGCGTAAAGAGATAATGGCGCGGTGGAGAATCGATTGGATAATTGGGTTTATTTGAAGACGCCGATAGAAAAAAGTTGCCATTCCGATAGCGCAGGCAAATCGCGCCAATATCGGCGCCCTGATTGGGCGGGACCGCGCAGAAGTCGGTGTAGCGCGTCACGTGCCTGGGACCGGGCCGGCACTCAGTTTCTTCCGCTCTTCCTTAAGATCCGCCGCTCTCGTCACTCTTCCTCTTCCTCTTTCTTCTCCTCCCATTGACTCATCCCATATCTTCAACTGATCAGACTCTTTGCACGCACATCTCGTCGATGTCGATCTAATCAACCCTTTCTCAATCCTATCTTATCCATTTGTTTAGTGACTGGTAACAGCACCGTCGCGCTTATGCGTTTTTTCTCGACTTTCACTTCTCAGGTATGCAGACCCCATTCAGCCCCACGTGACACTCGTGATGGGACCAATCCATGCCTGTTTCCGGGCCGTGGTTTACGACCACCTATGGTCAGTATGGATCAATTGGGACTGACTCGGCATTGCTTGCAGGACTACATCTCGGATCATCTCTGGAAAGCTTCCGGAAACTACTGAACCCTTTTTCAAACATCGACCATAAACTCTTTCACTTTTAAATCCCTTGACATAACATGTTTGCTGCCCGAATCTTCAAGGCAATGCCCGCCAGGGCCTCTGCCTTCCCTTCCGTGAACGCTTCTATCCAGTCTCGGTTCATGGCCACTGTGCGCAACGGTCGCGTTGCCCACGAGCGTGCCACCTTCACGATCCGAGATGGTCCTATCTTCCACGGGAAGTCGTTCGGAGCTCGCTCTAACATCTCCGGCGAGGCCGTCTTCACGACTTCCTTGGTTGGATACCCTGAGTCCTTGACTGACCCTTCCTACCGTGGTCAGATCCTGGTCTTCACCCAGCCCCTGATTGGCAACTACGGTGTCCCCTCCACTGAGAAGGACCAGCACGGCCTTCTCAAGTACTTTGAGTCTCCTCACCTCCAGGCTGCTGGTGTGGTGGTTGCCGATGTGGCCGAGCAGTACAGCCACTGGACCGCCGTCCAGAGCCTTGGCGAGTGGTGTGCCCGTGAGGGTGTCCCTGCCATCTCCGGCGTTGACACTCGTGCCATTGTCACCTACCTGCGTGAGCAGGGTTCCTCTCTGGCCCGTATCACTGTTGGTGAGGAGTACGACGCCGACCAGGATGAGGCCTTCGTGGACCCTGAGCAGATCCACCTTGTCCGTCAGGTCAGCACCAAGGCCCCATTCCACGTGAGTGCCGCCGATCCTCAGTGCCACGTTGCCGTCCTCGACTGTGGTGTCAAGGAGAACATTCTCCGTAGCTTGGTCAGCCGTGGAGCCAGTATCACTGTGTTCCCCTTCGACTACCCCATCCACAAGGTTGCCCACCACTTTGATGGTGTCTTCATCTCCAACGGCCCTGGTGACCCCACCCACTGCCAGGAGACTGCTTACCACCTGCGCCGCTTGATGGAGACCTCCCAGGTGCCTATCTTCGGTATTTGCTTGGGACACCAGCTGTTGGCCCTTGCTATTGGTGCTCGTACCGTCAAGCTGAAGTATGGTAACCGTGCCCACAACATTCCCGCTCTGGACATGAGCACTGGTCGTTGCCATATCACTAGCCAGAACCACGGTTATGCCGTTGATGCTTCGACTTTGCCGTCCGACTGGAAGCCCTACTTTGTGAACTTGAACGACTCGAGCAATGAGGGTATGATCCACAAAACCCGTCCTATCTTCAGCACTCAGTTCCACCCCGAGGCCAAGGGCGGCCCGCTCGACTCCTCCTACCTGTTCGACATCTACCTTGATAGCGTGCGCAAGTACAAGGCTAGCCAGTCGGCTTTCCACCCCACTCGGGATAGCCTGCCTAGCCCTCTCTTGGTCGATCTCCTTGCTAAGGAGCGTGTTGGCGTCCAGCCACTATTGGCATGCAGAACGTAGCCGCTGCTGCAGCTGCCGCCGCTTAAAAGAATGGCATCCTCTTTTTGGTCTTTGTGCGTGGAGTCTGGGTTAATGGGTTATGTGAATGTCATTCAATTCGGGTTAATATTTAGTACGGTTCATATGGGTCTTTCTAGCAATTGAAATAACTTGCTGTTACAATTTGGAGTCTTTAGGGTATCGTGTAAATGCCACTAAGCGCTGTGTAGCAAATGTAGGGGTTCTAGCCTGTAATATCTGTCTGGCCTCGGCTCGGGGTCACATCGTCGTATCACATTTAGTCTTAATGTATTCGTTTCGTAAGAATAACCCCCATACCGCAATTACTTCGCAACTATCGAAACCACATCCTCATCTGCCACAATATGTCCCAATCCAACTCGCTGCGGGATATGCCGCGCACTTGCACCCCACACCAAAGCATACTTAAACGATTCTTTCAACGTCCGGTGAATGCTATCACAGACCTCCTCGATGGAAGAGTTGCTCCGTACAATCAACGCTTCGCTGAAATCGGGCTCTTCTCCTTTCCTGCTCAAGGTTAGATATCTTCATCCGTTTACCGGGTTGCGGGGGAGACGCGTACCGTTTCGTGTATACTCTGATCAAACGGAGTTCTTTCCAGACCCGCTCAACCACCTCCTGAACGCCAAGGTCTAGTTCGCAACTCATTACGGCGGTATGTGGTTCACGAGCGAGTTGATTCAGGAAGTCAAGACTGATGCTGTCGATCTTGTTATATACGTAGAGACTGTCTTAGAGTTAGATTTGTCCAGGCACAATTTTTTGAAACGTGGAGTTTGGTCTCACCATCTGATGTATTTTCTGTGATCTTTCATGATAACGTCGATGAAGTCATCGATCGTTGCTGTTGCGGTATGCATTAGTGCACGATTCGCTAGGTGGCAAGGTATTAAAACATACCGTATTCATCTCGGATCAGAACTTCACAGTTCAGCATCTTGTAATCACGGAGGACGTTGAAGATGAGCTTCTCGTCGAGGTATTTCGGGGGCGTCTGGAAGGTGATCTTCACTCCGCCAGCTTTCTTTTGTTTGAGGTAGATGTTTCTAGATCTGTTAGCGATATAATCGTTTGGCTTATGTCCAAGGACAGCTACTTACGGTGGCTCCTTGTTGAGACGAATACCAACGGCATCCAATTCCGCCTCTAGGAGTGCCCGCTGCTCTGCGCGTTTAGTGGCATCGAGAACCATGAGGATCAAATCACTAGTCTGGTAGCCGGTTAGACACATAGCTATCCATCATCTCCTTCCAGCCACGAATCGTAAAAAGTAATAGAAAAATGGGCAATGAACTAACCTTAGCAGCAGAGATAACCTGACGACCTCTTCCCTTACCCTCAGCAGCTCCCTCAATAATACCAGGAAGATCAAGAATCTGGATCTCCGCACCCCCATATTCTAACACACCCGGAATAGCAGTCAACGTGGTGAAAGAGTACGCAGCGGCCTCACTCTTCGTCTTCGTGATCTTGCTTAGGAACGTCGATTTACCGACGGAGGGGAAACCGACAAGGGCAACACGGGCATCACCGCTTTTGCTGACATCGAAGCCTGCGCCACCGCCGCCGGCACCACCTGTCGGCTCCAGAAGTTGGGCTCTTAATCGGGCGAGCTTTCTGTCGGAGCTGTTAGCTAGCTGTTTTGCTCTGATTGAGTGGGATAGAGTGGTTTGTACCCCTTCAGCAGACCCAGATGGTATTCTGGTTATGGGTTAGAACTTAATAATATCTTTGTAGTATGGAAGATATAGCTGTGGTAATGCGCACCTGTGGCCTTGTTCTCTGTTATCGAGTTAGCGGCGGGGTTCTGAATAAAGTCGGGGAAGGGTAAGGGGACGAAAGAAGCTTACTCTGCGTCCTGCGCATCTCATCCTCAATCCTATTGTATGATATCAGAATCTAATCCCATTTGGAAAATCCATTCCGAGGCGATTCGCTCTTCCAAACGTACTCTTTAATCTTTTCCGTGATGTTCACCATCTTGCCGGTTGGGAGCCCCGCGGACTCAAAAATTCAGCGATAACAAGTACTACTGCGACGAAGCTGCCCGTGAATCGGGTTCCCTAAAGGGTGTCAAATGTAGAATATGCCCGAGATACCAGGATACAGGTACTCTGGTCTGATCTTCTGCGATAAGAGTGGGGAGTCTGGGGGGAAACAATCATGTATCAAAATCTCGCAAAATAACTGCCTTACATAATCGGCGGTTCTGGGGATTCTGCCATTCCATTTTGACCGCGTTGTCGACCGCTTAGGTGGTTCCTCTGATGTCAGAAGATGATATCTAACCCACCAGACATGTTGGACAGTAAAGCTAAATCAGGGTTACAATTATATGTTCCTTCAATTCCTCTGGATATGCTTCATAAGGATCCCTTGCTCAGGTTCGCGGCATACTCGGAATATCAATACCTCATACAACCGCCACGGTCATCGGCAAAACAATAGTCCGACCAGATACCAGACGGCAAGCTCGAATAATCTCATCCCAGACCGCGATAAAGATCAAGACAGACCTCAACCTCCAATCTCAACCCCACCACAACAACCATGGCAGACACCGTAGTGGCTGATCCGCCCCAATCTACAGAACCCACAACTTCACCAGAAGAAGCAAATGCACCAGATGAGCAAGTTGCCAGCGAGGAAAATGCCCTCGCCGTCACCCAGAACGCTGAGTCCGCCGTCGCGGAGGGCGCGCCAAAGAAGAAGAAGATAATCAGGAAGAAGCGCCGTCCAGCACGCCCCCAGGTCGATCCCGCCACAGTCAAGTCAGAACCGCCTCCACAGACCGGTACGGTCTTCAACATTTGGTATAATGTACGTTTTATATGTTGTTCTTCCTTCTACACAATCGCACCATGCGCTTTGTATCTATATCAATAATTTGAATAATAGTAACTAACAATGGCCCCAGAAATGGTCCGGCGGCGACAGAGAGGACAGCTACCTATCGAAACAACACGCCCCATCACGATGCAACATCTCCAAAGACAGCGGCTACACACGCGCCGACAAAGTCGTCGGCTCCTACTTCTGTCTTTTCTTCGCGCGCGGCGTGTGTCACCTCGGTTCGGAATGCCAGTATCTGCACCGTCTGCCCACTATCCATGATCTCTTCAGTCCGAATGTCGACTGTTTCGGCCGCGACAAGTTCAGCGATTACCGTGATGATATGGGTGGTGTTGGTTCGTTTATGCGCCAGAATCGCACGCTGTATGTGGGTCGGATTCACGTTACGGATGATATTGAGGAGGTTGTTGCGCGGCATTTTGCCGAGTGGGGTGAAATTGAGAGAATCCGTGTGTTGACGTCGAGGGGTGTGGCATTCGTTACGTATACTACTCTTGCGCAAGCGGAGTTTGCGAAGGAGGCTATGGCGCATCAGTGTAAGTTCCTCTTTGTGTGTTGGGGTTTTGAGGATGGCCCCGGTGTGCTGACTATCTGCAAGCTCTCGACAATAATGAGATCCTGAATGTGCGTTGGGCGACGGTCGATCCGAACCCATTGGCTCAGAAGCGTGAGGCGAGAAGGTTGGAGGAACAAGCTGCTGAAGCGGTACGCAGGGCGTTGCCGGCAGACTTTGTTGCCGAGCTTGAAGGGAGGGATCCTGAGGCTCGAAAGAGGAAGAAGATCGAGGGCAGTTTTGGTTTGCAAGGGTATGAGCCTCCTGATGAGGTCTGGTATAGCCGGACGAAGCAGTTGGAGGATGCAGGAAATGGAGATCAGGGTCAGCTCGAAGCTTCGAACCAACCACTCATGCTTGAGAATTCATCTTCTGCTCCTGCTCCTCCGCAGGAATCGGAAAGCAGTGGCATCTTCTCAAGCTCTACTGTTGCGGCATTGAGGGGGCTAGCGGGCGGCAATGTTACAACACAAGCTCCGCAAGCCTCGGGAGGTCCTTTGGTAGGCTACGGAAGCGATGATGAAAGTGATTAAACCAGGTTGTGGTATATTGCGCCTAAAATTATGTATAATAACAAAGATACCTTGAAACGTCACATTGTTTGCTCGCTGAATTGCATGGTATATTTGCGGGTATAGTTCGCTATAAAATGCTGAGAGGAGATAAGACATCCAACACCATTGCCAATAATATGTCAAATAAACGCGAAAGTGAATAAGATATTTCAGGTATAAAAGAACAAGGCACAAAAGAAATAAGCATGACACATAACACATGATTCTTACTTGCCGCGTCCTAGATCATAATAAACACATGAACCTGTACGATAGTTGTATATAAAAGCGTTGCTGAAGTTGTCCGCGCCGTCGTTGACATGGTTCTCGTGTGCCAGGTCAACGAGTAGCTCATGGACTTGACCAAGGTACTTCCTCTCAGTCAAGGGCGCACTCTGTATGACTGTCCGCCAGCTCTCAGGGTCTGATAGTCGAGTGTCTCTGATCGCCTCAAGTAAATCATCCCGCGTATCAATGGCGGCAATAGGCCCATTCAGCGCATCTTCGATTACTTCGCGAGAACGGAAAAGAGCTATTTTTCATTAGTAACAGCACGCACCATAATTCGGGTTAAGACATACCATTCTCAACAATATTCCTCCTATTTGTCTTCTTGCTCCTGTGCTGAGGGACTAGGATGCGCACATCGCTGGATCTTTCGCCGTCAATACCAGGATCTGGTTGGCTGGGTATTCGGGATTGGCGGACGTCGACTGCGCCCTCACGTTGGTTGCGAGCACGGATTTCATTTCGAAGCCATGGTATAAGCTCAGAGCTCCGTAAATCGAACTCCTCCTTAGGAACCAGACACCGGACCTTGAAGCCCCGCTCCTGGCTATCTTGCTTGACAATGACGATCCAACTGTGATTGTGATCTTTGTAGTTGGTAAGAAGTTTTTCGAGAGACGAGGCATCAACAGCTAGTTCAGCACTGATATCATTGGCCCACAAATCCTGAACAACTTTGATGCCTGTCTCACGCAGAATCGTTGGATCAAAGCTTGCAACAAGTACAT